TCACTCACTCACACACACACACACACACACACACACACACACATTTTATTTATTTATTATTAATTTTTTTATTTACCTTTTTCTTTTGACTGTTATTTATTACATTTAATGTACTTGTTTAATTAATTTATTAACTTATTTTTTATTTTATTTAGTGTTACTTGTTTATTTACATTTCGGATTTACTTTTATTTACATGTATTTACTTTTATGTACTTGTTTATGTATTTATTTATTTATTTTAGTTTTAATTTATTTACTTTTATTTGCTTACCTTTATATACTTGATTGGTAATTAATTTGTTTTATTTTCTCATTTTATATGTTTACTCTTATTTGCTTTCATTTATTTATGCACATTTATTCATTTACATCTTTATTTTTAATTTATTTTCTTGTTTAATTTTTTATTTATTTACTTGTTTATTTGACATATCACAGCTTATTCCTATCAATATCACTTTCTTCTTACATAAATGATTTCAATATTTCATGTTCATCATTATTTAGGTATTTGGTAAGTAGCTGTGTGAAAAACCTGAATAATGTACAAAATGAACTCCCTGTTTTTTTATTTTATTTATTTCTGTCTGTCTGTCTGTAAAAATAAAATTAAAATTAAAATAACTGTGTGAAAAAACAGCTGTGTGAAAAAATAGCTGTGTGAAAATCCTGGATAACCATTTCTTTTTAGTGTGAAATACACAATGAGCTCCAGATTCATGGAATTGATGAGAAATGTCAACAATAGCCGTATTTTAGAGGCGATGGACAAGAATAGATACAGTTGGTTTTCATTCTTTGAAAATAATTAATGCGTTCTAAACTCCATATGGCCTTCAGCGGCGGATGATTATTAGTGTGAGACGGGGCTCTGGTTAATTTGAGCGTGAAATCTGCGACCATACTGTAGATAATACAGTGAATATATCTCCTCCCGAGGGAACGAGGGGCCATTGTTTGGAAACGCTTAATCAGTATCAGACTCTGTCTCTGGATTAATGGAAAAGCTCAGTAGAGTAACTCCAGTTCACTAGCTTCCAGCTCTGGAGGATTTACTCAGAAACATAGAGCATAATTTAGCTGAAGAGAATCATATAGTGTTCCTGTTGCTTAACTGGTAGCAACCGTAGTGCTAGGAACACCAAGGTCATGGGTTTGATTTTGGTCGTCATTTATAGAGCAGTGCATGCAAGCATATTGATCAGGCCTGTCAACATCAATGAATCATCTTATATTTAAGAGCTTAATGCTTTTCGTTCTTTATGCATTTATACAGTGTGCTGCTTTTCATTTATGTGTGTGTGTGTGTGTGTGTTGCAGATTTCCAGTGGGTGCAGGGCGACGTGTGTGAGGTGCAGTTGATGGTCTATAATCCGATGCCATTTGAGCTGCGGGTCGAAAACATGGTAAGCATACAGTATTTGATTTATAAAATATTTGATGATGTTATAAAATGAAATAATAAATTCGTTTGGGGCTTGACTTTAACACCTGCCAAATGCGGGTGGATTTCAGCAGTGGGTGGGTAACAAGGTCACTCCCACTAGCCACTTTGTCGGGCTAAATTTTATATACAGTAACAGAGCTTGACATTAATTCTTGTCTGGGACAAGTGGATTTTTTGAAAGGGCAAGTGAAAGAAGAGAATTTTACTTGCCCGACCGGACAACAAATCTGATTAAAACATCTAATTAGGGAAGCACCGAAATTTCGGCGAGATTCGGTGTAAACGGTAGTGTTGGGTTAGAGTCCACCTAAGTCGAGTCCGAGTCGAGTCCGAGTCTTTAATCAATCGAGTACGAGTCAAGTCCGAGTCCAAAATGGGTCCCAACGAAGCTCTATTATTTATTAGTATCTTAACATTGTTTTAACCTTTACAACTAGAAAAACGCAATATCCATTTAAATGTAACAAAAGCAAACCTCTATTGCATCTTGCCATTTTGATTTTTGATTAATAATCAGTGTCCTGCTTTGCTTAGCAAACTTAAAGTCATGTAACAGAAGTTATGGCTGAATTGATTTATGTATTGTGACATATTTCAGAGTGAAAATATGAATGTGAAAAAGAATGTGAAAAATTAAAGGGCGGGACTTGACTTTATTCATCGTTAAAGTAAACGTATAAATTCAAGAGTGGGGGTAAAGGAGTAGGTATCTTGGTGAATGGGACCTTAAGAGCAGAAAAT